AAAAAACGAACGGCAGAAGAGGAGTGCAGATGAAGGAAGAGTGAGAATATGGAGAAGAAAAAATAGCACAATAGGAGCCATGATGTGGAGAATTAATAGCCAGCTGAAGAGGAGCAAGGACAGAGGGAAGAATTACTCAAAGAGCAGAGGACAGCACAGAGAGAGAAGTGCAGAGCAGATGAGCCGCTGCTGCAGGAGGATGAAATAATGCAGAAACAGGGCAGAGGAGTGAGGAGGAGAAGAGGAAAAGAGCAGGAACAGGCAGGGGAGAACTGAGAGGAGGGAACAGAGGAGCAGGAAGTGCAGAAGGAGGAAGAGGAGAAAGTGCAGAGAAAAGAAAGAAAAGGACAGGAAAAAAGAATAGGGAGGAAGGCAGCAGAGAGGAGAAGTTAGAAAAGACAGAAAAGAGAAGGGAGGGAAGGGATTGCAAAGGTAGAAAGGAGGAGAAAGAGACAAGAGAGAAGTTCAACCAAAGAAGAACTAAAGATAGAAGAAGTGGGAAGTCACGTGCAGAGAGAAGAGGTGAGAGCAAATTCAGTCACTGACAGAAGAAGAAAAAGGAACGTTAGGAACTGTCAGTCTCTGTGAAAGCTGGATTCTTTGCAGGACATGCCGTGCTTGTTCTGCTTTTGCTTTTTTGCATTGCTTGCATTCTTGTAGACAATTGAACAACTAAGAACGGTCAGGAACATTCTCAGAACATGATTTGTGACGTCCCCTTAATCTCAGCTGCTCTGAAATACCCAACTGCTATCAAGCGAGAGTCACCTCCTTCCAGGCACCCTGCAAATCCAGCTTCAAGTGTCTCACTTTTAAACACTCACCTTCACGAAGGAACAAAGATGATCCCATACTGGGCTCAGAATCCTCCTCTGCCATCCAGCGCATCCATTTCCCAGCAGGACACCATCAGTGTGTTGTCAGCTGTGCCCATGCCCTCACAAAGCAAAACAGCCACGGACAGCTGCCTGCAGAGCCCTTGGAGCAATCCCCGACAGACACAGAGGCTGCAGGCGTCCGCAGTCCCTGACGTGCTGGGAGCTGATGTCTCTGGGCCCAGTGCACAGCAGCATTTCCTTCCATGCTTTCAGGCCTCCTGACAGCAAACCTCTGCTCCAAAGCGTCCTTTGGCCAAGGAATTTGTGCCACCAAGCACAGCGCTTTCTCACCTGACCGCATCCAGAAAGCATAAAATCAGGCAAACTGTGTCATCCTCCCAAGTGCTGCCGTTTCCACAGACTGCTGGCACTGCACAGCTAACAGCTGCCACTGACAACCAGGAGGGGCTTCTGTGGGGGCCAAGGCCAGAGGCGCGGCAGCTGCAAACAGAGGCAAGAGCAGACACAGCTTTAAGTTACCCGAGAAACACAAAGGACTCAACCCAGGAAATCTCCACAGAACTGCTGACCCCATTCTGAGCAACAGGGCGCACAAAACAGCAGAGCTCCTTCCCTGCAGGCAGCCAGCCCTTCCATGAGCCTCCCCCTTAGGGAGGGGGGAACCAGGCTGCACCCCTTGGTCATGCAACTGAACGGCTTCCACTGCTCTCCACAGCACAACAGGCTCGGTTGGAGATCAAAGCCTGTGATGTAAAAATAAATACATAAAAGTTTTCCTGCTTCTTTCTCATCTGTGTCATCTGACTGCTGTTGGAACCCAGCGCACTTACAGGGCCTTGCAAATGACAGCTGGAAGCAGCTACATCCAGCACGCACAGCACCCTGCAAGCTCCAGGTGAGTGACAGCAGCCAAGGAGGCCTCTGGGCTCTGCAGGGTCCGAGTGTGGAGCATTGCACACAGGAACAGCTGAGCATCAAGTCGAAGGCACAGCTCCAGAACTAGCCAGCACCAAGAAGCACAGTGGCACAGCTCATTTCCCACACAGGAAGAGCCGTGACGAAAATGCACATCTGTTCAGCTTTCCTCTCCTGTCCCTGCCTTCTGCCCCATCAGACGGGAGGAACGGCCACGCTTCCACAGACAGGTTCCTCTCACAGCCCGCACCCCTCGGCGTGGAGCATTCCCGGCTGCAGGACAGAAACAACAGCTCTGGCCATGCACCATCTGCCAACTGCCATCTTCCTCTGCATATCGCTCCTAGTCATTAGTTGAGCAAACACCATCCTGTTGGCAAACTTTGCTCCTTATGCACTCATTAGAAAACCAAAAGCAGCTCCATCCCAACACTTATCCACTTCCAGAGTGCTAGGACTCCCATCTCGCACGCACGCTGCGGTTTTCAGCCTAGGCTTGTAGAAACAAAGCCAGAAAACTCCACTCCGCTCAGTACAAAGCTCTGCAATGATGAGAGTCACTCAAGCTCCGCCCCAAAGGGTGAAAAGTAGCATCAAAATATCTGAAGAAAGGGGGGACGATGAAGGAAGGCAGCACTGCAGAGAAGTCAGGAGAACAGCTCTGCCTTCCGGGATCAGGCGGCCAGCGGAGCCTCTCTTCCCCCAGCAGAGACGCCTGCAGGCTGAGGGGCACACGCTCACTTTGCTCAGTGCTGCCCCGAGAAAGTCAGACGGCTCTATGGAGCTGCTCTCTAACTGCTCAGACAGTGCGTCTGTGGGCAGGGCCCAGGATTGGTGCGTCCATTGCTTCTGTACCCTGCAGCATTCCCTGATGGAGCTGTGGCAGTTCTGACCCAGCGCCGCGAGAGGAACAACGAGGAGGTGGTGGGATAACGAGGAGGTGGTGGGATAACGAGGAGGTGGAGCAATAACCAGGAGGTGGTGGAATAACCAGGAGGTGGAGCAATAACCAGGAGGTGGAGCAATAACCAGGAGGTGGAGCAGCAGCTCACTGGGTGCCGCTGGACAAATCAGGCCATGCGCTCCTTGTGAATGCAAAACTCCAATTGTTTATTGATGGATTGAACCCAGAGCGCCAAGTTGGGCTGCTGCCACAAAGCCGCTGCCTGCTGATGCTCCTCCGCTCAGTCCTTCAGCTGCAGCTTCTCCATCATCTCCACAAGGCTGTTCATGGTGGAGAACTGGAAAGAAACAAGGCAAGTGTCAAAGCAGCACACCGCTTCCCCCAGTATTCCACAACCCCCTTCATGTCTGACAGACAGAGAACAAGAGCCGTGTCTGTGCTCGCCAAGGACTCACCTCTGCATGTGCAGCAGCAGCTCTGAGAGCAGCCTTCTTCATTTCTGCTCTCCTTTCTTTCTGTCGTCGTCGTCTTTCTAGAGAGCAAGAGAAGAGAAATTCAGTTTGTCAATAGCAAAACCACGGAAACACGGGTACCACGACAACAGCCTGGGAAATCTCTCAGGAACGGGTATTTGCAGTGGGACGAGCAGAGGGCCATCGTGGGCTTCATGGGAAAAGATAGGATGACACATTCTGGCACATCCTTTGGACTTGGTAGCCTTCTCCTCTTTGCCCCTCCCTGCAGAAGGGAAGAAAAAGCAAAGCAAACCCCAAGCAAACTCCACGTGCTTGACAAGGGAAGCACCTCAGCAGGGCAGCTGCAGCATCTTCTTACCTCTTCGCTTTGAGGTCCGGAACCTCTCGGTCGGCACTGGGGCAGGCCCAGGCTGTGCTGATGGAGCTGGCACAGCACCTCTGCTCTGATGAGGGCTCTGAGCCTTCTCCCCATTGTGCTCCACTTTCACTTGTTTGTTGGCAGGACCCAGCTCTGCCTCCTGCTCCTCCTCTTCCACTCCCTTGCGCTTTCTTGCGACCACGATCTTGGAGGAGGAGCAGTTGGCAACTGCAGGAGCAGCTGTTCCCCCTCTGCTGGGACCTGCTGCTTCAGGAAGCCCTCCAGCCTGGAGAGGAGTTTGCACGGAGCTTTCGCCATTTGGCTCAGCACCTCTCCCTGTTAGAAACAAGAAAGGGGAAGCAGCAACATGTAATGAGTCCAGCACTACCTGCAGTCTGCAAAACAGGCCACGATACTAGGAAATCTCATCTCCAGTGTTCACAGCAATGCACCTTAGGATCTTGGCTGAACTGTGGGCTTGCATTGGCAATTGGGACAGGAAAGGTAATTGGAATCCCCAGGGATTAAGACCTCAAGCAACATGCAATGACAACAGTCCCAGGAAAGGGCAGACAGAAAGCCTAACTAGAAAGACAGGGCACCAAACCCAGATGCCTGCTGCGTGTCCTACCTCTCTTGGGTGCTGGGCCACTCTCCTTGCTCCTCCCCTGCCTCCCTGCAAGCCTGTTGTCATCAGCTCCTGACAGAAAGGAAACGAGACAGACATGAAGAGCATCTCTGTGCAGGAACATTTTAGCACAGCCAACCACAAACTTCTGCTCCTCAAGCGTCGTTTCTTCAATCTGCCCTTCTGCTGCTCCAATGGTCCGCCATTTCTGCAGTCAGCAGACATCTGCAGGGCCCTTTCCCCTCTCCTCCATCACACGCCCCTTCACGCAGCCCTGTTTACAGGCAGTACCCACAGCACAGCTCACAAGAGCTTCTTACCTGGGGAGGCTTTCCGTTTCCCCCCATGCCCAGCACCATTCCATGGACGCGCAGGCTCCGTCCCTACAACAACAGATGGAGTGTTGGTTTCCCAGGAGCAGCGCTGTCCTGTTAGCCCACATCCACCCCCAAAACCAAAAGACACTGTTCTACAGCCAGAACAGAAGCTGATGGTTAAACTGCAGTGCGCTTACACAAAGCATTACTGCTCTCACTCCTGCTCAGGTGGCAGCAGAGGAACCCAGGGCTGCCTGACAGCTCTGCATTCTGCAGAGCAAAGCTGCTTCAGCAAACAAAACGCTACAAAACGCTGCACAAGTTGAGACATGGATTTTTTGGTCTCTACAGGGAATTCATTCAGCTCTGAGCGCCACCACTTACACACAGACTTCTGTCTTACTGCTGCCATCAGCTGCCACTGTCAGCCTCCCCAATGCTTCCACAATGGCTACTGCACATCCCTACAGCACTGCACCAACTCACAAGTAACACTCATTCCTCCATCCTTCATGACAGAGGACTGAAGAGACTCACTTGTGCATGGTGCTAAGGATGCTCCGTCCCCATCGCGTCCCTCTGCGCGCTGCAAGGCCCAGCTGGCACTGGGGCAGCCTGCTGGCTGCTGCTCCCTAGCATGGGGAACAGCACGGCGCTGCTTCTGAGGAGAGAAAAAAGGAGGGCCATGGATACAGGCACCAACGTTTGCAAAGAGATGCAGTGTTCCAGATCGTGCCAGAGAGCGCTGAGTTCTCACTAAAGGAAACATTGGGAGCGCATTCACAACATCTGCACAAGCTGCAATTGCTGGGCATATCCAGCTTTCTTATCGCTCAGGTGCAGCAGACAGGCGCTCTCAGACAGCACTGCAGGGCTTGCACCAACACACCTGCAAACACCAGCATTCTTCCAAGGGAAACAGGGTCTTCAGGTGCCACAGTTCAACCCGTGCAAAATTACCGTGCGCAGCCTTAGCTCTGCACCATCCTTCCTTCCCCACCCTGTCCTGCTGCAGGCAGCTAGAACAAACTTCTCAGCAGAAACCAGAGCAAACGTGGCAAACCATAACCAGGTACAGATGGCAGGAGGGCAGCGCCCGCTCTCGGCTCCCACCCTGCCCCACCAGGTGAAGGAGCCTGGCCATGCTGTCCTTTTGCTGCACCGCACAAGCCCACTGGTTACTGAGCTCCCTAAGGACCAGCAGGGCTCCCCCTGCTCCACCCCTTCCCCTCCAAAACCAGAGAAAGGAAGAAAACCCAAGTTAGGGAAACCCAGCCATACCTTTCCACGCGCAAAGCAGGAATGGGAACCGCGTCTGTGTCCCTGCTGGGACATGTGGGGAACGTCTCAGAGGAAGCTCACGTTCCTGGGGTCCTCTCCACAGGGACTGACCCCCCGCTGGTGGAAAGAGCTGGCTTCACTCTTCAACTGCCTCAGTCCCCAACACCTCCTTTTGTAAACCAACCCTGAAGAAAGAACCTGCAAGTGAAAAACAGGAAAAAGCATTTTCCCAGCTTTCCTCTGCTATGCAGTTTAAGCTATCGGGCAGGGCAATACTCCAAACCAACTACTAATGAGAACTGTCTCCCAAATACACCCAGCTCCCGTGCAGCTGCCATGAGTTCTGACAGCAAGCGTTCTTCTCCATCTCCTCCATAGTTTTGCACCTTGAAGCACACGGCTGGTGTTGCTGTCGTGAAGAAAACTCCTTTTGTCTCACCGCCAGCCTGGACAAGGGCTGACGCAGCTGCCCACCCCAGCCCAGCTTTCCTGCTGAGACACCCAGCACCAACCCCAGCTCACCTGGCCACTGCTCAGCCGGAGCTGTGCCCAGCTCTCACACACGCCGCAGCGCTGCTTCCAGTGGGCTCTCACAGGAAGATCTCTCCATGACAGCACAGAGCTCGGTCTCAGTGTGCACCACGCTCACTAGAGCACCAGCTCTGCTCCCAGCTGGGGCACAAACGCTCCCAGCCCGGCAGCCACTGTGACCTCAGCGAGTGCCTGCATCACCGCTGTGCTTGCATCATAGACAAAGGAGTGGTCACCTCCCAGACCCAAAGTTTAGGGAACCTTGAAGTATTTTACTGACTTGGAAGTATTTCACTTTACTTACTTCAGAAATTGCACACAGAGATGGCATGTTTTGCTATTCTTTCACACAAAGCAGAAGGGCAAAATGGGAGATACGTGCAGCAGCATCCACACCCCAGTTGCTAAAGGAATAGAAAGACAAATATCAAAAGTCAATACGTGATTCTGATCCAAGGAGGGAAGCTAATCTTCAGATCACTTGTTATCATTTAAAACAGGCACTCACAGTGGGAAAATCGTAGGCCTCAAATTCTGACATAAAATAAAGCCACAGCCCTGCCACGAAGGCTGGCTCATCAGCACCCATTACCACAGCAGCACCTGGCAACTCACGCAAAATGAGCCGTGCTTTTTCATTATTTGAACCTTGCTCTTTTTGCTTGTGTTTCTTCTCATTTTTTAGTATGTTTCCTTTCCTTTCCCTTTCCTTTTCTTTTTTTTCCTCTTTTGTTTTGTTTCCTTTGTTTATTTCCCAGCCCACTGAAGTCACATTACATCCACCTACTGACCCCCTTTTATCCCTTCCATCTTCTTGTTATCTGCTCCTCTCCAGGGTCCTTTTCTCCTTGCATTACCCTATAGCGCCCCCGTAGCCCCATATTACCCTGTATTTCCCTATAGCCTATGCAAGTACTCTGTAGCTCCCCCACAGCCTTTTATATGCTTATATCTCTTTATATCTGTAAAATCAATGAATATACAGTTGTTATAATTAAGAAATATAGAGTAAAGTCAGGCTAAACAAGCTACCACACCGAAGAAGAATGGATGGGAAGCTTGCCCTTGTCCTGGACTCACTGAGCAGACTCCAAGAGGAGCAATCTCCACAAGAGATCCTTCCCCACCAGCAGTCAGCTCTTAAATGGGTCTGGGAGAGGTGCAGCCAGGCTCCCCTTCCGGCAGCACAGGAGCACTGCCTTCATCTGTGCTTACAGGGCTGACTCGGTGCTCGCCTCAGGTGGGCAGTCAGAGGCTCAGGCCGCGACTCAGCAGTTCCCATACAGCACCCCTCCGCAGCCCCCTGTCGCACCTCTTTCTCCATATCACACCTACAGCCATCTCCCTGCAGCCCCAAGTCCCCTTCTATTCCACCTATGTTTATTGAACCATACTCTCTTTTTTCCTCCTCCCAGCCCTTTATAACCCTCCCCATAGCTCTCCCCAGACCCCTGTAGCCCACTATCACCCTGTATCACTTCACAACCTTCCTGTAACCCCACATCCCACCAATATTGCCCCATCTCCCGTTATAACTCCCTATAGTCCCTGTATTTGGACCTATATAGAATCATAGAATCACCAAGGTTGGAAAAGACCTAAAAGCTCATCCAGTCCAACCGTCCACCCATTACCAACAGCTCCCACTGAACCACGTCCCTCAACACAACATCCAGCCTTTCCTTGAACACCCCCAGGGTCGGTGACTCCACCACCTCCCTGGGCATCCATTCCACTGCCTGACCACCCTTTCTGAACAGTAACACTTCCTCATGTCCAGCCTGAATCTCCCCTGCCGCAGCTTGAAACCATTCCCTCTGCTCCTATCACTGATGACACGAGAGCAGAGGCCGACCCCCAGCTCACTACAGCCTCCCTTCAGGCAGTCATAGAGAGCAGTGAGCTCTGCCCTGAGCTCCTCTTCTCCAGGCTGAACATTCCCAGCTCCTTCAGCCTCTCCTCAGCAGCCCTGTGTTCCAGACCCCTCACCAGCTTTGTTGCCCTCCTTTGAACACGTTCCAGGGCCTCGCTACCCCCAGGCAGATCCACACTTCCAGCCAATTGGTGTCATCTTCGAATGTACTGAGGGTGCACTCGATGCCCTCATCCAGGTCATCAATCAAGATACTGAAGAGGACAGGCCCAGCACCGACCCCTGGGGAACACCGCTCACGACCGGTCGCCAGCTGGATTTCACTCCATTCACCACCACTCTCTGAGCCCGGCCCTCCAGCCAGCTCCTCACCCAGCCCAGAGAGCAGCCATCCAAGCCTCGGGCTGCCAGCTTCTGCAGGAGAATGCTGTGGGAGACAGTGCCAAAGGCTTTGCTGAAGTCTAGGTAGACCACATCAACAGCCTTTCCCTCATCCACCAGACGGGTCACAGATCATAGAAGGAGATCAGGTTGGTCAAACAGGAGCTGCCCTTCACGAACCCATGCTGGCTAGGCCTGATCCCCCGCTCATCCTGCACATGCCGTGTGATCTGCTCCATCACCTTCCCTGGCACCGAGGTCAGGCTAACAGGCCTGTAGTTCCCCGGATCCTCCTTACGACCTTTCTTATAAATGGAGTCACATCGGCAAGCCTCCAGTCTTCTGGGACCTCACCAGCCAACAAGGAGCGCTGACAGATGATGGAAAGCGGCTCGGCTCTCACCTCCGCCAGTTCCCTCAGCACTCTCGGGTGGATCCCATCTGGCCCCATCGCCTTGTGGCAGCCCAGTTGGAGCAGGAGGTCTCTGACTGTTTCCTCCAGAATCACAGGGGGGTTCGTGTGCTCCCCAGCCCAGATTACCAGGTCAGAGAGAGGAGCATCCTGAGGGTAACTGGTCTGACTTTTAGAGACAGACGTAAAGAAGGCATTCAGAACCTCCGCCTTTTCCTTATCCTCAGTGCTCACATTCCCAGCCTCATCCAGCAAAGAGTGGATGATATCTGGACCCTGTAGCCCCACATCCCTCCATAGCCCACCTTATACCCCCATTCAGCCCCCCACAGCCCCTCCCAACCCCCCCGTGCTCCCCATAGCACTGTTTCCCCATAACATCCTCACAGTCCCCTATTGCCCCAAATCCCCCATATCCCCCAATTCCCCACCACAGCCCACGATACATCCACACGCCTCCCTATACCTCACAGCTTTCTGTAGCCCCCACTCCCCCATATCCCTCCCCAGCTCTCCACAGCTCCCTCTCCCCCCTCTATTTCCCCATTATCCCCCTACCTCTCTCCCACAGCTCCCTATCGCCTCATATCCACCCCATATTCACAGCCCGTCCCGTATTTATCCCACTTCCCCACATCCCGTCCTGTCTGCATCCGCATCCCAGTCCCACTCCCAGCCCCTCACCCCGCATGAAGCCAGGTTACGGCTGCCCAGGCGTCCCCTGTCCCGGTGCCGCTCGCCGTTCCCCCAGCTCCGGCGCCTCTGTCCTCAGCACCGCGGCTCTCGTGCCGCGGTTCCATCTCGGTGCTTCCGGGCAGCTCCGGCGCACAGCAGCGGCGTCGCGCGGGGCGACCCGGGCTGCGGGAGCAGCAGCGCCTGAGGGGAAGGCGGGGCGGATCCGACCCGGCTGCTAACGGCCGTTCCCGCGCGCCGCGCCTCAGCCAACGGGAGCCGGCGGCGCCGCCACTGACCAATGGGAGCCCGGAGGCAGGACAGAGCTGCACCGGACCAATGAGAGCCCGGGGGCGGGGAGGTGCGGGGCCGTTGATAGGAGGAGCACTGGCACGGGGCGGGACTTCGGCGTGCGCCCTATTGCTATAGGGGGTGGGAGATGGGATTGGGATTGACAGGTGGGAGATGGGGATGGGATGTGGGATTAGGATGCGAAATTTAGGATCGGGATGTGGGATATGGGATGGTTATGGAATGGGAGATCGGAAATTGGAGTATATATGGGATGGGCCCTGGGTATGGGATTAGGTTGGGATGGATGTGGGATCAACAGGGGAAGAGTGTGGGATGGACTGGGGAAGAATATGGGGCCGGGGTGATAATGGGCTGGATAAGTGTACGGGGACTGCTGAACCACAGCCTGAACCTCTGACCGGGCACCTGAGGCCGGCCCTGAGTCAGCCATGGGAGCACAGGTGAAGGCAATTCATCTGCGCTGCTGGGAGTGGTGGAGCCTGGCTGCACCCCTCCGAGACCCATTTAAGAGCTGACTGCCAGGGGAGAAGGATCCGTTCTGGTGATCCGCTCCACTGGAGTTTACCGCATGAGCCTAAGGTAGGTGAGTGTCCTTCTTTTCTGTTCTGGTATAACTGCATAAGCTGAGCTCTCGGGTATGCTGTGTCATCTGTATGCTCATTGATTGTATGGTAATGTATGGAATGGATGTGGGGATATGGATTTAGGATGGATATGGGATAGAAGATGGGGATAGGATGGGGGGGTATAGATATGGGATGGAATCAAGATGGTTATGGGGTGGATATGATGGATATGGGATGGGATTGCTATGAGATGGGGTTGTTGTGGTTATGGGGCCATAGGGGCTATGGGGCCAGAATGCTGTAGTGACATCTGTCTGCAAAGTTCCCCCTGCAGTGTGAGATCATAGAATCATAGAATCACCAAGGTTGGAAAAGACCTAAAAGATCACCCAGTCCAACCGTCCACCCATTACCAACAGCTCCCACTGAACCACGTCCCTCAACACAACATCCAGCCTTTCCTTGAACACCTCCAGGCTCGGTGACTCCACCACCTCCCTGGGCATCCATTCCACTGCCTGACCACCCTTTCTGAACAGTAACACTTCCTCATGTCCAGCCTGAATCTCCCCTGCCGCAGCTTGAAACCATTCCCTCTGCTCCTATCACTGATGGCACGAGAGCAGAGGCCGACCCCCAGCTCACTACAGCCTCCCTTCAGGCAGTCATAGAGAGCAGTGAGCTCTGCCCTGAGCTCCTCTTCTCCAGGCTGAACATTCCCAACTCCTTCAGCCTCTCCTCAGCAGCCCTGTGTTCCAGACCCCTCACCAGCTTTGTTGCCCTCCTTTGAACACGTTCCAGGGCCTCCATGTCTTTCTTGCAGTGAGGGGCCCAAAACTGGACACAGCACTCGAGGTGCGGCCTCACCAGTGCTGAGCACAGGGCACAATCACCTCTCTGCTCCTGCTGGCTGCACTGTTTCTGATGCAAGCCAGGCTGCCCTTGGCCTTCTTGGCCACCTGGGCACACTGCTGGCTCCTGTTCAGCCCAGCATCCATCAATACCCCCAGGTCCATTTCCTCTACGCAGTCCTCCAGCCACACCGCCCCAAGCCTGCAGCGTCGCCTGGGGTTGTTGTGGCCGAAGTGCAGGACCCGGCATTTGGCCTTGTTGAACCTCATCCCATTGGCTTCAGCCCAGCTCTCCAGCCTGTCCAGGTCTTGCTGAATGGCAGCACGGCCTTCAGGCTGTCAGCCAATCCTCCCAGCTTCGTATCATCACAAACTTGCTGAGGGTGGCCATTATCCCCTCATCAAGGTCATTGATGAAGATGTTGAACAAGGACCCAGCACAGACCCCTGAGGAACAGCGCTGCTTACAGGCCTCCAACCGGACTCTGCACCACCAACGACCCTCTGTGCTCTGCCAGTCAGCCAGTTCTCAACCCACCTCACTGTCCACTCATC